ATTATAACGATTTTTACTTACCATAACATAAAAATTTAATTTTTAATATTATCAAACATATAATAAGCAACATAAACTATTTCTTCAAAGGATTGGATTTATTATTTTCATTAAAGGTTACTTTACGTTTAATTACAAATATGTTTGGAATGTTAATTGTTTTATTTGGTTTTTAAGGATTTAAATTTTATTGCTACATATTTACGTAAGAATTTTCTTATCAGTTAAATTGAATATCAAAAACAATTTTTAAAAATAAAAGCTTATTACTTGCGACATACCAATATGTTTAGGATTATAATTTAAGAATTAAAAAATGAAAAAGTTTACATAAATTTCGTAGTTTGTTGATACAAAACCTATATTATGCTTTTATTCAGCAACTAATTATAAAAAATACATAGCATATTCGTAATGATATAAAATACAATGACGTATTGTAGAAAACTCAAGTTTAATTCTGTTATAGTTGTATACTTATCAAACAGAACTGTGATATATTTAAAATTTTCTTTTGCGCGCTAAATTTGGTGCAAGTGCTGGCATCTGCGAGAGGGAAGTGTAAGGATAGGCTTCTATGTGTAGATAACGACCTTTCTATTGAAGCAAATGGACTCGTCCATTTCAACTGTAGTCGGTTGTGAAGTTTAGATGTTCCAAGTTATTTTCACTTAAAGTACATTTTCTGGTGTTGATTTTCATGGATTATTTTTCCAAAATGTATAAAAGTAGCTTACTCTTTCAGTGTCGTCAATAGTGCGTGTCGGTATTACTATTTTCATAAACAATTAGTTGCGCGAAGTTCAAGAGTAAGAAACTTTCTTAAAGTATAAACTTTTTTATTATTGTTAGTGTAAAGTAGTGTAAGTTGTTGGCTCCACCATCTTTGAATTTACCAACAGATAAAAATTCGAAGGGTGAGTTTCATATGTTGCTATTCCTGTTTCGAATCATTTTCGAAACCAAAAAGCAACAAGTTGCCAGCAGTTAATTAAGCCTTCCTCTATTTATTGTAATGATTACATATTACGAATTTTTATTATATTGTAAAGTACCTATGTATGATTAAACCCTCAGAAAGAAGTCATGCTGTTGAAGAAGATTGTTTTCTTCCTTCGTATGTGGCAGTTTCAACATTTTGAGTCGTTGCAGAGGAAATCAAGACGTTCTCATAAGGTGAGTTTTTCTTTTTAAGTTGTTCTATTTCATTTTGTAATTCGATCATTATTTGGCGGTCATTTTCGAGATTATTCTCGTAAATTTTGTATTGCTTGACAATCACATCTTGTTGGTTAAGCCTATAAAAGGATTGTAAGTAGGTACATGATACCTATACACAGTTGCGACTTATGATATTTGCCTACGTATTATTACCATTAACAGTATTAGAGTTAAATAACACCCTGAACAGTTGGGGTTGATGACCATTAGGGTCCTCACAAAAGTCTGTTTAATCATAATTTATTTTTGTATTTTATCGTAATAGCCCAGTCTGGCCTTGCCACAGAAGCCCCTCACTATCATTGCATGAGAGCAGTCCCCATCCTATGTCCTAACTTTAAGTTATATTTTTATCTCATTTTCTTTACCTCATCCTTATCCTCATTCTATTCTCTCAATAATTTCTCCCTAATGGGAGTAGTCCCCATCCCTCTTATATGCCCTAACCTCAAGCATTCCTCTCCTTATTCTATCCTATTATATTCTTATCTCTTTTCCCCACCTCATCCACATCCTATTCTCTCAAATAATTACTCCCCTAATAACATCCCAATGAGAGTAGTTCCCATCTCTATTACATGTCCTAACTTTAAGCGTTTCTCTCCTTATCATATCCAGTTGTATTCTTTTCTTATTTCTGCTACCTCATCCTCATCCTGTTCTCTCAATAATTACTCCCTAAATAACTTCCCAATGAGAGTAGTTCCCATCCCTTTTACATGCCCTAGCTTTAAACGTTTCTCTCCTCATCATATCCAGTTATATTCTTATCTCATTTCCCCTACCTAATCCTCCTTCTATTCTCTCAATAATTTCTCCCTGAATAACATCCCAATGAGAGTAATCCCCATCCCTGTTACATGCCCTAGCTTTAAACGTTTCTCTCCTCATCATATCCAGTTATATTCTTATCTCATTTCCCCTACCTAATCCTCCTTCTATTCTCTCAATAATTTCTCCCTGAATAACATCCCAATGAGAGTAATCCCCATCCCTGTTACATGCCCTAGCTTTAAACGTTTCTCTCCTCATCATATCCAGTTATATTCTTATCTCATTTCCCCTACCTAATCCTCCTTCTATTCTCTCAATAATTTCTCCCTGAATAACATCCCAATGAGAGTAATCCCCATCCCTGTTACATGCCCTAGCTTTAAACGTTTCTCTCCTCATCATATCCAGTTATATTCTTATCTCATTTCCCCTACCTAATCCTCCTTCTATTCTCTCAATAATTTCTCCCTGAATAACATCCCAATGAGAGTAATCCCCATCCCTGTTACATGCCCTAGCTTTAAACGTTTCTCTCCTCATCATATCCAGTTATATTCTTATCTCATTTCCCCTACCTAATCCTCCTTCTATTCTCTCAATAATTTCTCCCTGAATAACATCCCAATGAGAGTAATCCCCATCCCTGTTACATGCCCTAGCTTTAAACGTTTCTCTCCTCATCATATCCAGTTATATTCTTATCTCATTTCCCCTACCTAATCCTCCTTCTATTCTCTCAATAATTTCTCCCTGAATAACATCCCAATGAGAGTAATCCCCATCCCTGTTACATGCCCTAGCTTTAAACGTTTCTCTCCTCATCATATCCAGTTATATTCTTATCTCATTTCCCCTACCTAATCCTCCTTCTATTCTCTCAATAATTTCTCCCTGAATAACATCCCAATGAGAGTAATCCCCATCCCTGTTACATGCCCTAGCTTTAAACGTTTCTCTCCTCATCATATCCAGTTATATTCTTATCTCATTTCCCCTACCTAATCCTCCTTCTATTCTCTCAATAATTTCTCCCTGAATAACATCCCAATGAGAGTAATCCCCATCCCTGTTACATGCCCTAGCTTTAAACGTTTCTCTCCTCATCATATCCAGTTATATTCTTATCTCATTTCCCCTACCTAATCCTCCTTCTATTCTCTCAATAATTTCTCCCTGAATAACATCCCAATGAGAGTAATCCCCATCCCTGTTACATGCCCTAGCTTTAAACGTTTCTCTCCTCATCATATCCAGTTATATTCTTATCTCATTTCCCCTACCTAATCCTCCTTCTATTCTCTCAATAATTTCTCCCTGAATAACATCCCAATGAGAGTAATCCCCATCCCTGTTACATGCCCTAGCTTTAAACGTTTCTCTCCTCATCATATCCAGTTATATTCTTATCTCATTTCCCCTACCTAATCCTCCTTCTATTCTCTCAATAATTTCTCCCTGAATAACATCCCAATGAGAGTAATCCCCATCCCTGTTACATGCCCTAGCTTTAAACGTTTCTCTCCTCATCATATCCAGTTATATTCTTATCTCATTTCCCCTACCTAATCCTCCTTCTATTCTCTCAATAATTTCTCCCTGAATAACATCCCAATGAGAGTAATCCCCATCCCTGTTACATGCCCTAGCTTTAAACGTTTCTCTCCTCATCATATCCAGTTATATTCTTATCTCATTTCCCCTACCTAATCCTCCTTCTATTCTCTCAATAATTTCTCCCTGAATAACATCCCAATGAGAGTAATCCCCATCCCTGTTACATGCCCTAGCTTTAAACGTTTCTCTCCTCATCATATCCAGTTATATTCTTATCTCATTTCCCCTACCTAATCCTCCTTCTATTCTCTCAATAATTTCTCCCTGAATAACATCCCAATGAGAGTAATCCCCATCCCTGTTACATGCCCTAGCTTTAAACGTTTCTCTCCTCATCATATCCAGTTATATTCTTATCTCATTTCCCCTACCTAATCCTCCTTCTATTCTCTCAATAATTTCTCCCTGAATAACATCCCAATGAGAGTAATCCCCATCCCTGTTACATGCCCTAGCTTTAAACGTTTCTCTCCTCATCATATCCAGTTATATTCTTATCTCATTTCCCCTACCTAATCCTCCTTCTATTCTCTCAATAATTTCTCCCTGAATAACATCCCAATGAGAGTAATCCCCATCCCTGTTACATGCCCTAGCTTTAAACGTTTCTCTCCTCATCATATCCAGTTATATTCTTATCTCATTTCCCCTACCTAATCCTCCTTCTATTCTCTCAATAATTTCTCCCTGAATAACATCCCAATGAGAGTAATCCCCATCCCTGTTACATGCCCTAGCTTTAAACGTTTCTCTCCTCATCATATCCAGTTATATTCTTATCTCATTTCCCCTACCTAATCCTCCTTCTATTCTCTCAATAATTTCTCCCTGAATAACATCCCAATGAGAGTAATCCCCATCCCTGTTACATGCCCTAGCTTTAAACGTTTCTCTCCTCATCATATCCAGTTATATTCTTATCTCATTTCCCCTACCTAATCCTCCTTCTATTCTCTCAATAATTTCTCCCTGAATAACATCCCAATGAGAGTAATCCCCATCCCTGTTACATGCCCTAGCTTTAAACGTTTCTCTCCTCATCATATCCAGTTATATTCTTATCTCATTTCNGACCCCCGCGTTTCTTCTATAAAAGTAGAAATAAAATCTAAAATAATTTACCTATCTTTAGAGAGAGAAAGTTTAATGAGACAATACATCAAGAAATTAAGTTTCCAAAATCATTAAACCTTGACGTACAATTCAGACTTATTCTTTACTTAATTTAAACTATTACCGCGAAATTCTTTGCACTTCTATATATCTAGATTTAGTTTATACTGCAATAAATACAAACCTTCATTAACGCCGAATGCATTTTTGATACACACAACAACACCGATTAAAAATGGAAAAAGTTCCCACCACACAATTAATTTTACAAAGTTCATGACTGCACCGTACGTAATTTGTCGCGGTTAGACTTTTTCATGATAACCGAAAGTGTATTAAATAGATACCTACATAATAAAAATTACAATAAAGTGAAGCGTGCGCGACTTAACTCACTTACTTACAAAGTATTTCAAAAGATAAGACCTTCGTAATAATGAATATTATTTAAGTGCTTTCCCAATTGGTTACTTACATCGTACCTATATGGAATTGTATACCTTCGACGTGATATATTTACGTATTACTCCAATATATGTATAAGTGAATAATAACAATTTGTTGTATAATATACATACAATGTTATATGTAAATGCAAAGGTAATAGGCAACTAAAACTAGCGGTAGCATCAAAAGTACGGAAATGGGTTATATGGATATCATATAAATACATAATTTTACTAGGCTAACTGCAAATAGTAACATATTATGCGAGGAATGTTGACATTAACAGACTCCTAGCTAACCATGTATTAACATCAGACATATACGGTGTGATAACGTATTCATACAGACGTAATAGAAGTACATAATTGAGGAAATGTGATTAATCTACATACAATATACCGTATGCGAGAGTACGGATCTTAGTAATTAATTATGTCCATCTTAGAGATTGAAAAAGTAATTAAAACATGCGCCATGACAGTGCCAGTTTTCGTGAAATTTTTCTGCGAAAATTTATGAGTTCTTACAAACAACTTTCCAGTCATTTTTCGCTGGTCAGATGGAGGATAGATTAGCGACAAAAGAGAACCATCCTTAGGCGAAAAATTATAGTCCTACAGTATTTTTGTACGCCGTTTCTATTCTGAGATACTTACGCTATATGTAGTCCCAACTTGGCAGCTCTCCAGTCGTTTTTCGCTAGACAAATGCATGATAAACTAACGACAAAATAGGTAAATGACTTTCCTTCAGTGACAAAATATAGCAATTACAGTATTTTCCTACACTATCTCACTTCCAAGATAGCTATGTGTATCATCAGCTTGGCGGTTCTCCGGTGTTTTTTTACTGGACGGAATAGAAAGAGACTGGCGACAAAATGAGTAAAAGTAGCACCTTTCGGCGACAAATAATATCCCTTACAGTATTTTTCTACGTCGTTTTTGTTGTGAGATACGCCGTACGTGGTTCCAGCTTGAGAGCTCTCTCTAGTAGTTTTTCGCTGAACAGTTGGAGTATAAATTAGCGCCAAAATGGGTAACAGTACCATTTTTCGGCGACAAATTATACGGCACTTAAAGTATTTTTCTACGCCATTTGAACGCCGAGATACGCAATGTTTTGCGTAAGCTTGGCAACTCTCCTGTCACTTTTTGTTGGACAGATGAAAGATAAAGTAACGACAAAATGAATAAAATTACCATCTTTCGGCGACAAATTATACAGCACTTACTATTACTATAGTATTTTGTCTGTTACCAGTAATCGGTTGAAGCGACAAATTTTTGAATTTGGTAACAAATTAGCCACAAACTATAGTAACTTTAGAAATGACAAACATAATTTTGTCGTGCTAGCTTGTAATACCTGTAAAACAGACCATACTCACCATATACTTATCTAATTTCATTTTACTTGTTAAACACTGTATTGGAAATGGAAGAATAAGAAACATTATTTGTAATACAAAAAGTATTATTCAGACCAGATAAAATTACATTAAAATTGAAATAGAGCCATTACAATTAGAAAACTAAATATTAGGTTTATCAAGTTTGGCCTCTAAATGATACATTTGTAATGCAAGTGCGTTCCCNGAGATATGCTTTGTGTAATGCCCGCTTGATATCAAGCGTATTTTCTAGTAACCAGCTGGAGCAATACATTTTTGGATTTCGTAATAATGCAGCGACAAAAACGACTTACTTCCTTAGCATATAAAAGTCAACTTTAGTTGCCTTTACTTTAATAGTTGTTTCATCTCATATAAGGGGGGAATAGGGAAGTCCATGCGGTGTTAAACCATTTTTGAGGACAAGAAAGGAGACTTGCCCTCTTATTACCACAATACACAATAGATGAGTGTGTTGCGGTAATTAAGGGTGTGTGTAGTGACTTCCTTATTTTATTTGTGTTTTTAACACCACATTATTTTTTCTTTTGAAATTCCATAAAGTTTAAATTAAAAAGTTAGCGGGTTTTCAAGGGTTTATTTCAATTTTTTTATGGTACAATTTTTCAAAATAAATATAGATACTTCCTGGTATAGTTAATATAAAAATTCAGTTGATAGAATAAAATAAAGTTTTCTGATTTGTTTTTTTTAAAGATTAATATTAGTGGTTCATCATGTCTTCGTTTGTGTGATTATCCTAAAAAATATATACTATAATGTATAAAGAAACTTGGATCTTAAATTGATTTCAGTTTATATTTCTTATAACCGAAGTAATAGTAACCTTTGTCCAAAAATTAGGAAAAATTTTCATCTTCACTGGTTGATATTAAAGCTAATTTTTATAAGACTGATTGATACATTAAATTGCGTTTACTTTTAAATGTCATTAAGTACTAGCAAATATGTGAATGAACTGATCGATTTTTAAGATTTACATTAAAATTAAAATAATAATTTTACCTGGCGATAGCCATTTGGGGACCTGGTCAGTACACTCTGAAGATACGCTGGTTCAGTACTACTACTTGATGGCAAATTAAAAACTTCATTTATTTTCATTTGGGGGCTTTTCAGGAGATCGGGGGTATCGTTTTGATCTTGAACAACAAATTCCAAGTCAAAATTTAATTGCATTTATATGGGGTGGAAATAAACATACTGGGTGTTCTATTTAAAAGAAATAACAAAAATGTGTATTAAAGATAGATGAAGGTGTTAATACGTTGATTTTTTTTTCAATGGAATATTTTACAACAGGCGATGAAATATGATGGATACGTGACGTAACAAAATGACCAATATGGCGGATAGTAATCGCCATATTACGTCCTATTAAAAAATCTTTTCTTGACATAAAATGTTTTTGTTTAATAACTTTCTTTATGTTAAAAATTGTTTAAAAAATTAAATTTAAAGGAATTGTTTGTAAATAGGTATGCAACACATCGTACACTTCAGCATAAGAAATTGCTGATACTAACTTTCATTTACGTANTCTCTAAATAGCATCCCAATGAGAGTAGTCCCCATCCCTACTACATGCCCTAACTTTAAGCGTTTCTCTCCTTATCCCATGTAGTTATATTCTTATCTCATTTCCTCTACCTCATCCTCATCCTATTCTCTCAATAATTTCTCTCTAAATAATATCCCAATGAGAGTAATCCCCATCCCTATTATATGCTCTAACTTTAACCGTTTCTCTCCTTATCATATCCAGTTATATTCTTTTCCTTTTCTCCTACCTCATCCTCATCCTATTCTCTCAATAATTACTCCCTAAATAATAATGTCCCACCAGGGATTTATTTCCAAAAGTAATTACGCTATACCCACCTGCCTTGAAGATCATTTAGTTGTTGCAAATAAGAATTTTCTTTTACCATCCACTCCGCTTTTGCTTTATTTAATGCCAATTCGGTAGTTAAACACCTTGCTGACATATCTTGCAATGATGTTTGCAATTTTTTAATTCGTTGAAACAACATTTCTTCCTTTTTGCGGTAATCATCTAAACAAGAACTAAAAAATACCTTTTTTAGATACATAATGTTTCTCATATGTACCTAAATATGTATATTGATTAGGTAGTTAATTAGGTGTTTGTTATATCAATAGGTATGACCCAAGTATGACCCAGTCGTTACTATTATTGCTGTTTCTGCAAAATTTTTATTTGGTGAAGCATTAGCAATAAAACAAAATAGATGCTGAATATTAAAAATTAAATGAAAAATAAAAGTTTCATCTTTTTTTTTAAAATAGTCAAAAATCATGCACTCTTATAATAGCAGAATTTTTTTATTTTTTAATGTCTATTTTGTTTCATTACTAATTTTTACAGCTTCGCTAAACGAAATATAGCAGATGCATCTCGTACAATTAGTTATTTCTAGTGTCAGTGTCAAAAAAGTTTTTTAGCAAAATCGTTGAAAAAGTTAGTTGGTTAGTTAGTAGCACTATAATAACAATACACCAGAATTATATTTTTAGTACATACCCCATTATATAAAGTCAATAGTAAACAAAAGTGAACGTGCGACTTGTCTCGTAAATTACGTACCTGTATCGAAAAAATATTCCTTTTATTTCAGTTTCATTTGAGATGAATTAAATACGTACATGATAAGATAAAGAAAGACTCTGATAACGTTTATTGCTTAAAAAAATAACAAGCTTTAAAATACTTGCATCTTGAAAAACTGAAATTCTAAATACAACTAATTGGACTTAATTTCAATAATATCATTTCTTCTTATATCACATTTTTGGCGCATGTCTTTGTTTTGATTTCCTCTTCAAGTAAAACTTCTTGAGAAAATACGAAATGTTAGGAAGGAAAAAGATTATATAACATTTTTCTGTTGCTTCAAACCAGCTAACTCATTTTGCAGTTCTGTTATTCTTTGTCTCTCATTATGATAGTTTTTCTCGTATATTTGGTATTGTTGCATGATAACATTTTGCTGTTGCAATCTACGAAAAATACAAAACAATTATCTCCCAAATGCTTATGTATTAGATACTAACTTAAGTCAAACTTCTGTAACAACATACATACTGTTTTACATTTAATCCAATTTCTATTATATTTCTACTACTCTTCTTCAGAAATATTTATTTAACGTTAGTTACCTGTTTTCGAGTGCATTTATTTGTTCTTGATATTCCGATTCCTTGACTGCTGTTTCTGATCGAAAATCTAAAGACTTAATTTCGGCTCGTATATTTCTATCATTGAGCGATTCTAGCATGTCATTTAAATAGAAAATTTGATTGTAAAGTATTACTTGTCTCTCTCTCATTTTTTCTTCGCTTGACGGATAGATTGAAAAGCACTTCAAACACTGTCTAACAATAATGACACGAATACATAGAAAATAATAAACAATTTTCCTTTATAATCCAAATATTTTCTTCTTACCCCATGACATCAGGTTTTCTAACATTGAAGTGGTCTGATAACAATAAGTGTAAAAAGTGTAATACATAATTTATAATGTGCATTTTCACTTTTTGTCGAACGTTATCATGCACTCCAAAACGTTACGTATTTGATTGATAAGATAAAAGGATAAAGACCAGTCTTTCTTATCATATTCGTTTTATTGCAAAAAAAACTATTATAAGATTTGTATCATGTATCAGCATTATTTTTAATATAAACAAGATAAGTTTTTTCAGTAATTTAATTAACTAAAGATCGCGATTTCAATTTTACTATATCTCATCAGCACGCCATCGAAGCAACTCTATAAAAGCAAATTGATTTATGATCCTATTAGAGCCTTGCCCAACGAAAGAGGTAAAAAAAACGTTTTAAAACAAACTGACTTTATTATCAACATTTTAAATAACATTAATAACGATTAAAATGCTGAAAACTGCCGTGAAGAGCCCTCTTGGGGTAGAGCCTGTAGAACTTGTGGTAGCCCCGAAAGGTCCAATTTTGGCAGCGTAGCTTATTAAATATGCCACATACGTTTGTTCATGAGTGTTTTGAATTAAATGGGCCATTGGACCTAAAATCAACAAACTTCTAAACACCGTGGATAGAATAAGTTAAAAATGTTTATTAGAACGAGTAGAACAGAGTCAGTAATAGGCGATATAGGTTAAAAGGCTAGTTAGAGACATATTAGAAGCAGAAACAGGAGTCAAGAGGGGCAGAGGTAATCTTATATTAGATTAGAGTTCGCCGATAGAATAGGTTGCTCTGTTTGTCGTGAAACGCAAAGATTAACTCAAGCGGTTTTCAGGTCTAAGGCCGTATATTGATTATTATTTTTGGAATATAATAATAATTAAAACCTTTAATTAATTGTTACCTGTGGCGTATATGTGAACGTCCGTACCAGCATGGTAAACTTCGTCAGCCAAAACTGCTGCTTGTTGAGAATATTCAAAACTTTCGGTATCATTGAGGGCAGGGTCTAGCCTGGTGATCTCGCTGTTATTTACTGAGAACTGATAGTTATTAGGACCCCCCGTACCATATAACAAAGCAGTATAACTCATCCCATCCATCGGAGATGTTCCCGCGATTCCTGTAAGAATTGTAAACTTTAGTACGGTAAGATGCATTGAAAATAGACCGGTAGGCAACACATCATACGCCGGAAAATTGAATTGAATAAGCTTACCCAGAACGTTCGTTGTTCTATTCGGATATCCTGTCATAATCATGGAATGAGCATGATCCGCTGTAACTATTATCAAAGTTTCGTCTGCTTCGTCCTCCATCAACGTCAAAGTTGATTCGATAGCATCATTGAACGATTCTACTTCCCCAATTGCAATTCCTGCATGACCCCTGTGATGACCAAAGTCAATTAACCCTCCTTCTACCTGAATGCAAAATTTTAATTAAAACAGGGTGATTTTTCATTGCAAAAACAATAGTAAACATTGATGTTTCGATATCTCTAATAAATCGTTGTTCAGATTATGTAATTGCAAATGTTATACATATTTTCTCTTTGTTATTTAATTTAGTTACATACTTACCATTAGGAAAAATCCATTGTTGTCTTTTTTCAACACTTCTATAGCTTTGTCTGTCATGTCTTTTAAGGATGGCATTCCACTTGGGCCCTTGTTTCTGGCGTGTTCATATTTTAAATGACCGTTAGCAAAAATACCTGGATAATAACACATTATTATTACGATTTTTACTTACTATTCAAAATTAAAATATTTTTCATCGATTCTATTTAATTTGAGTTACTTTTTTTAACATTACCTAGCACGTACTCTGAATCAGTGTTCAAGTTGGTCAACTCTTCATTATTGTTTATTACAGCGTATTTAACACCTCTAGATTTCTTATCATTTTCCCAATCTTTGATTAAATCCCTTGCATCTTGACTATAACAAGACCACGTGTCCAGCGGATCAGCCTCAGAACCAGACACATTAGATTGCAAAACTTGTCTTCCTCCTCCCATAATAACCTATTATATTTAATTAAGAATCAAATATTTTTCGACATATGTATTTATACAACCGGTTTTATGTATAACGACATAACTTTTTTACGTCTAATTGTTTTACCTTTATATTTTTACCGGGCTCATCTTCTATAAGCTGTCGGGCTATATCCTTACAATGCCTTGAGCCCAAAGGAATTCTAGCCTCACACTCCCAGTTCCTATTTGGGGAATGAGCGTAAAGGGGTGCGGGAGTCGCATGCGTTACTCTTGTTGTTGTGACAAAACCTGCCAAGAATAAAGCAATGAATAGTGAGTAAGGCAACCCAACATACACGTCTGCGAATATTATACTAAAATCTATTCGTAGTGTAAGATGGGTTGCCTCCCTATATCCATTTAAGTGAACGATATTGTACAGTACCGTACCGTAAAATTAACAAAAGAGCTAAAAGTACAAGCGATATTGTACCTGTTGATTTTCCCGCGTCTTGAGCCCATTTCAAAACACTTTCAAGTTGAGCACCCTCTTTGAGGGAGGCGTCGCAGTCGTCCAAATCCACTGTTGTATCCACCCCCACAGTTTTGTGATTGACTTTGACTCCAGAAAACATAGCTGTGGCTGTACTACAAGAGTCTGGCACTAATTTATTTGCCGAATAGGTCTAGAATATTTCTTTTATTTATTAAATGTTAACGCAGTTGTGTTTTGAACAATTCTATTTAATTTTAATCNAAAATTAAATTTAAAGGAATTGTTTGTAAATAGGTATGCAACACATCGTACACTTCAGCATAAGAAATTGCTGATACTAACTTTCATTTACGTAATATTATTCTGCCCTGTGCGGACAGCACTCATAATTTCTTTTATATGTAATATTAGGTGGTTACCTAGCGTGTATCTCTTCAGTCGAATTTCCTTTTGATGGGGACTTTCCCCCATCAGCCAAAATGTCCTCATAACGCCCTTTCCCTGAAAATTTTGTAAATTACTTTCATTCATTATAAACCTGTCATATAATTTAAGAGGTACTTTTATTTGGGTGAGACCCCTTTCTTCGCAAGTGTAACCCCCGATTTTTTGAAGTAGTATATACGTTTCGCTAGATATGTGAATTTTAAATGCATGTCCGGTACTTTCCATCCTGGATGCAGTGTTGACAGTGTCGCCAAACAGACAGTATCGGGGCATCTTCAGGCCTACAACCCCTGCTACACATTTCCCTGGAAGAAATGGGAGAGGTAACTCTGAAGTAAAATTTACACAAACTTTTTGAATGGTACTAAGTATTAGACGTATGCATGTATATTGTGAAGGAAATCGCCTAAAATCACCATCCCCTCCCTTTTAGTAAATAAAACAATCGAAGTAGGCTTATCTATTATGAAAGCGACCAATACTAAACTATGCAACCCAACATACATCGGTCGTATGCATGCTGCTGTACTCGTAAAATTTCTTGTTGTTGCTGCTGCCACCATTCGAGCTTTGGTACGTAAAGCCAGAGACTCGGGTTCGATTCCCGTGACAGCAGCAACAATTTTTCCTCATTAATTTGAGATAATCTATAGAGGATGGAATATTAATTAATGTTTAAGAAATTATTAAAGTTTCTTACCCGAATGAATTCCTATTCTCAGTTGCAATTGTTCCCCTTTTCGGTGTTTTATTTCAAACAATTTTATTTCATTTAGAAGATGTAAAGCCATCGATGCTATTTCTCCTGCATGCCTGTCCCCATTTCTTATTGGCAAACCACTAGCCACCATGTACGCATCCCCTATTGTTTCTACCTATATGTAAATACAATTAAATTTTATTTACATATTTTAAAAAATAATAATTTTACCTGGCGATAGCCATTTGGGGACCTGGTCAGTACACTCTGAAGATACGCTGGTTCAGTACTACTACTTGATGGCAAATTANGGAAGAATAAGAAACATTATTTGTAATACAAAAAGTATTATTCAGACCAGATAAAATTACATTAAAATTGAAATAGAGCCATTACAATTAGAAAACTAAATATTAGGTTTATCAAGTTTGGCCTCTAAATGATACATTTGTAATGCAAGTGCGTTCCCAAATATTGGCTTATGGTAAAGTTGTTTAACATCAAACCTGGAATGAAAAGGAGGCAAAAAGTAATATATTTGCTTATGATTTTATTTTAATGTAAATATCACTTACTGGCAATCTGTAAACAATTGACGGGCATATTCTTGACACTCTGAAATAGCCAATTGAATGGAATTGTAATGATTTCTTCTTGACCAATTCTGAACCACTTGAATTAGGCAATGTCCAATGCCCTTTCGTCTGTACCTATGAACGATAAAAGTATAATATACTGTAGGTAATTAAATGGGGCACATTTACAGATAATATTTTTTACCTCGATTCAACTGCTAATTTAAAAAGCCATGCTACATCCTCATCCTGTATATGTCTTGATACTGCTACTGTTCCTATAATCTTTAAATAATTGAAATATTACATTGCACATACCAGATATTACCATCTTACCCTTCTCCTATACTTTTTAACTTCGAAATTTTCATACATTAGTCTATTTTCATCAATAATCTTGTAACTACACTTCTCAGGACTGTTGGCATTAAAATAAGGTTCATACACTTCTGCAACCCAAGACATTACAGGTCTTTTAGAACTCGTCACTTCCATAGCTTTCATTAAAAGAGAACTATATATAGAAAGGTATATTAAAATTAATACAAATGGAACGGACAGAACACAATAGGGTAGTGGAACACCCATGAAAATAAACATCACAGCGGCTGATAGTACAATGAGCTGGAATGTTATCTGCAGAACAAACACAAAACAGACTACGTATTAGTTCAACAGCTTACACAAAAGTACAATTAATTCAAAGCGTTAACGTACTTCTTTAGTGATTGCATTCCACCAAGAGTAGGAAACATTTGACAAATAGGCATTTCGAACAAGCTCGTTGACACTTATATTATCACCAGGATTACATTCTCTAATAATAACGTAGTTGTAATTCATATTTCCTGAATTTTTTTGGTATTTGTTTACATTCGCATGCTTAAAAAGTTAGGTTAGGAGAAATGTCATTGTCATAGATAATAGATACACAAAGGGTAATTGTTGTTATCTTCGTTTTGTTCCATCATTCATTGAACATTGAGAGTGCGGCTTGTTCAGCCACATTTATATATAGGGTGTTTAATTAAGATAATAATTTAATAACTTAAAAAATATTACAAGAATATGTGAAAAACTTTTAGGTTTAATAGTATTTGATACTGACGTGTCAAAAAATGCGCTGTATGGCAAATTCTGCTTTTCATTTTCAGGTTGCAGTGCGAAATTCATAACGTAGAATAAATATGTCGAATCGTGGGTTCGATGAAAATAATGAGAGTGAGGGCCTAAAAATGAAATTTATTACATTATTAGTAATGAGTAAAGGCAACAAATTAAATGATCAGTATATAAATTGATTGATCATTAGATTCATTGCTTAATGGCTAGGTTGAGTTAGGTTAGATTAATTGATTTATAGTCACTTAGATCACTTGCATTTAAATACTGACCTTACATGATATTATTAAGTAAATACAGACCGGAAGTGATTAAAATACTAATGCTGAATTTTTTGAATTCTCTTTTTATAAAAATTCACCTTTGGCATAGATTGTGACGTCGGTTCCAGAATGATGCACTTCGTCGGTCAAGATGAATGCTTGTTGAGAGTAGGTATAGCCATCAGTATCATTATAAAGAGGGTCTTGTCTATATATTTGTTGTTGTGGACAATGAAGGACTTGATATTTCTTACTGTATTGTGCCATTCGGCCATAATACGGAACTATTTTCATTTGGGTACTAAAATTCGAGTTATCCGTGTAGAACTGGAAGTTTTTTCGTCCACCAGTTGTGTACAACAATGTGGTATAAGGTATTCCATCGACTACAGACTTCTCGGCTAATCCTGACAAATAATTTTATGTGAATCCATTTGTAGATCGTCAATCTACATCCTCATACTAAATTTTATCTTATTAGATATTTAAATGAGAAAAAAAGAAGACTGTGACATATAAACAAACAGACAGAAAGAACATTTCTTACCCAGAATTCCAGCTGCTCTATTGGGATAACCAGTAATGACCAACGAATGTGCAAAACTGCCAGTTACAATCAGTAACGTTTTTCTTGCTATTCTCAATTCTTCGGTAATTCGTACAACATCAGCAACAGCTGTGCTGAGAGCCCCGGTTTCATCAAGGGCAATCCTGGCATGTCCTTCATGATGTGCTTTATCTATTAATGCATTCTCCACCTAAGTTTATGACATCAGATATTATTCGTAAGCTAAATCATATTAGCTTGACGAAAAGAATTTTGTTTTTACCACCAACAAGAATCCTTTGTTCTTTTGTAGCACATGTATGGCCTTTTCGGCCATTTTGGACAAAGATGGCATTCCGTAAGAACCCCTCTCTCTGGCATAATTGTATTTTATGTTGCTATTGGCAAAAATACCTAGACAAAATGCCTAGTCATTTAATTAAATTATTATGGAGTGAGAATCTTAATATTTTAAATTATTCTAATTGACATGATTTAGATAAGATAATTGTCATGGTGATTAACAGGGAGAAAATGACAATCCCTCAAAAAGTTTTTAAATTTTCAAATACTTCATTTCATTACTTTACCTAAAACAAACTCAGCCTTAGACGAAATTATCCTTTCTAACTCTAAATTATTCGAGGCAATGGCATAATTGGCATGTCTATCTTGTTTATCTCTTTTCCATTCTCGTATAAAATCTCTCCCATCTCTGCTGTAACAGACATTGTAGTCCACAGGGTCACTATCTGTCCCTACGACTCTAGACTGAAGACACTGTCGTCCCCCGCCCATTATTACCTTTTAATAAATGAAATATTCATCAAAACACTCTGTATAATACGTATATGAAATTTGAACTTCTAACAAGTTTAATGGTATTAGAATTGATGATTATTGGCTAATGGGTGTTGTGTTTTTAAAACATGAGATTAACTTACTTTAATATTTTTACCTGGTTCGTTTTGGATTAATTGTTTGGCTATATCTTTGCACCTCCTATGACGTCGTGAAACTTTACCGTCACATTCCCAATCGACGTTTGCTGAATGGGCGTATAGGGCGGTAACGGTACCATGGGTAACACGACCTGTTGTCACAAATCCTAAAAGTAGTGTCATTAACATTACGGTAGAATAGTTCAAATGTTTTACTATTGTAATTGTCAATAATTTGATTAATATGGTCATGTTATGAAGAAAAATCAGTCTAATGTAAGTTTCATCATAACACTTTTCAGGGGATGATCCCTCTATCCATTGCTGCTGGTCCACCTCAGAGAAGAAATTTGCATTAGAGAGAATTTTCTTCGTTTTATTTTCATTATATAATTATTGTAATAACTACAATTCCCTTTAATGTACACGTGTTCTATCGTGGTTAAAACGAACCTGTTGCTTTACCAAACTGTTGAGCATATTCAAATATACTATGCAGGTGAGTCTTGGTATTGATTGAGTTGAGGCAATCGTCATATTTTACCGAATCGTCTAGTCCTACTGTTCCTCTATTAGATTTAGTGCCACAGAAAAACGCTGTGCCCGCACTTCCGCTATCTGGCGTTAAAGTATCAGCGCTGTACGTCTAAAATTTTTAAAAAGACCTATAAACAACACTTTATAAAGTCATGGTATGAAGACCTTCAAAGTTCCAGTGAATGGGAATCTCTCAAATGATAAATAACCCATATCACTGTGAACATAAGTTCTAGCTGCTGTTACAGTTTCCGGTCCCATACCATCTCCTACGAACACAATTATATTTTCTACCGTTTCTGTATTAACATCTTTGTATAGGGCTTGTTGAAGGTCTTCCATCGCGACCTTTTGCCAATGCAAACTGTCTAGTGACACTTAAAATCGTATAAATTAAGTCACATGTTTTTAAGTGGCATAATACTAAAAGTGAATCTTACCTTTTTTGCTAAGTATCGCGGAAATTGGTAATGAGTATGTAAAATCGAAGAAGAATAAAATAATACCAACGAATAACCACACAGAATAATGGCAAATCATAATCTTAAACGTCTCTTCAACATATTTGACAATTTGAATCGAAAATAATTATTTTCATAGCCAAATACGATCTTCTAACAGGCAGAAAATAATATTGATCGATATTTTACAATAGTTTGTGCAATTAAATCAAATTATATGTGGAAACTCAGAATAGAACACCCTGTATGTAATATACATGTGATAGTGTTGGTTATATGAGTGCGCGTTCAAAGGCCAGGCTAAAGTGAAAAAGAAGAAAAATCCTAACCTAACAAACGTATAGGTTATCTAAAAAAGAAAAAAAGCTGTGAATATACTTTTTATAACTGTAAAATAGTTATATTAATAGTGAAAAAGTTAACTAAATAGAAAAGTGTCTAAATGAAACATGAATTTGAACTATGTGTTAAGAAATCTTTGCAAAAATACAACAAACTTGAGGTATCATTCTACAAGGAATATAATGCGTCTTCACGAAAGAGGAATGTTTCAAGATTTATTCCCAGATAATTCTGTGTAAGTCTTAATTCAGTACTCTAATAAACATTGGATTTGAATAAGCATATTTTAGAAATGAAATTATTGACTTACTAAACGTAGCCCCCCAGTGTGTTTATGCAGGTTTTGACCCAACAGCTGATAGTCTTCATGTTGGGAACCTTTTAGTGCTCATTAATTTATTACATTGGCATAGAGGGGGGCACACCACCATAGCACTGGTAAATATATTAAATAGGTAGATATCTATTATAATTCGTGATCATTAATGGATAGCTGCCTTTATAATTAGGTTGGTGGTGCAACTGCAAGAATTGGTGACCCCAGTGGTAGATCAACAGAACGAGATGAGTTATCACCTATTGACATTACTAATAATATAGAAGGAATTAAATCAGATATTATACGGATATTTGAAAATCACAATAAATATTTTTCTGATAATACAGAAAATAAAATTCCACTTATTATAAACAATGAAAGTTGGTACAATAAATTACCAGTGGTTCAATTTATTGGTGGTGTCGGGAGGCACTTGAGGATGGGCACAATGTTATCAAGGAGTAGTGTAAAAACACGCTTAAATTCTCCAGCTGGAATGAGCCTTACAGAATTTAGCTATCAGGCATTTCAAGCATATGATTGGCTGCATTTGTTTAAAACACATAACTGTAGGTTTCAGGTATATATAAATTAGTTTATTGGAAAGAAGGCATGCAAGTATTCATTTTTAGATTGGAGGCAGTGACCAAATGGGTAACATGATGTCTGGCTTTGATTTAATTAGTAAAATCTATCAAAAAAGAGTGTATGGTAAACTTTGAAGCATAATCCTTAAACCATGTTATTAACAAAAGAAAATTTAGGTCTGACACTACCTTTAATCACATCAGAAATGGGAGATAAGTTCGGTAAAAGTGCAGGGAATGCAGTTTGGCTCTCCCCCAATAAAACATCACCGTTTACGTTTTATCAGTTCTGGGTTCGAATGTCTGATGCAGACGCTGAAAAAATGTTGAAACTTTTCACATTTGATTCGCTGAACTCAATTAAAGATCTCGTACAGAGGCACAAGCAAAAGCCAGAAGAAAGATTAGCACAGAAGAAGCTCGCTGAATATTTAACAACCCTGGTACATGGAGCAGAAGGCCTACAAAAGGCTCATTTGGCCACACAAGCGCTGTATAAAGGAAGTACAAATGCTATTAATAGCTTGAGTGTCGATGAAATTAAGAGCCTGTTTGAGGGGGCCACTGTCGTAGAAATAATGCCTGAACCAGGACAGGACGTTCTTAATGTTGCTATGGAAGCAGGATGCTTTCCTACCAAAAGTAAGCGTTTAAAATAAGCTTAACAAATATTAATTTTTCAAGATGGAGGTATTTTTATTAAGAAAAAGTTACAAAATCATTATATAAAAATGATAAGGGCTCCTTATTTATACTTTTNGATTTTTAAATCTACACGTTCAAAATTTAAGATTTGTAAGGTTAAATAGTTAATTCAAAATATTTTCATTATTACAATGATACCTAATAATAAAATGAGATAAATATTTCTTACAAAAGTATTTTCATACTTTCAATGTGCCCAGATTGGAAAACTTTTCGAACGCTAGAAAGCCGTTTTCATATTTCGCATGTATACGAGCAGCTGTTTGGGTTTCGGGTCCTAATCCATCTCCAATGAACAAAATTACATTTTTAGCAACGTTTTCGTTTTTCACATGGGCCAATGCTTCTTCTATGTCACTTATTGCGAGATCTTTCCAGTATTGATAATCTACCAACCAAAAAGAAAATATTTAAGGCTAGAACAAAATATTTTAAAAGTTTTTATGTTCACTTTCAGTGTACAGCACTGTACCCGTATGTGTTATTTCATCACAACTTTTTTGATACATAATACACTACCTAGATTAGAAATTATTAATTTAATCATTGTTTTGATTGTTTTTAAGGTTTAGGTATCATTTATTTACATTCTAGTCATAATGTTTTAAAAAGTTTATGTTAGTTTCAAGTATAAATAGCTTATAATAGGAAGACGTAAGGTTAAAAATAATTTTTATTATTAGACAAATAATTTTTAAACTATTAACTACTATAGAATGCAGAAATGGTTGTTGTTTTCGAGACCATTTTCTATGTACCTAACTGTACCTTCCGTATATTAATTTCCACTAGTTGTTCTATCTAATCAACGTAGGAATAATCAGTTCTGTGCTTACTTATCATATTTTTAATACTGCACAGTGTACTGTCTACCAATTTTTGTGTTTAACCAACAAAAGACTGCTTTGCATTTTTTTTTAACAGAAACGTCGAATTTTATTTGCAAAGTTTTTTTTAAAAATATTGAAAATTATATTAGACCCCCGCGTTTCTTCTATAAAAGTAGAAATAAAATCTAAAATAATTTACCTATCTTTAGAGAGAGAAAGTTTAATGAGACAATACATCAAGAAATTAAGTTTCCAAAATCATTAAACCTTGACGTACAATTCAGACTTATTCTTTACTTAATTTAAACTATTACCGCGAAATTCTTTGCACTTCTATATATCTAGATTTAGTTTATACTGCAATAAATACAAACCTTCATTAACGCCGAATGCATTTTTGCTACACACAACAACACCGATTAAAAATGGAAAAAGTTCCCACCACACAATTAATTTTACAAAGTTCATGACTGCACCGTACGTAATTTGTCGCGGTTAGACTTTTTCATGATAACCGAAAGTGTATTAAATAGATACCTACATAATNATGAATTCCTATTCTCAGTTGCAATTGTTCCCCTTTTCGGTGTTTTATTTCAAACAATTTTATTTCATTTAGAAGATGTAAAGCCATCGATGCTATTTCTCCTGCATGCCTGTCCCCATTTCTTATTGGCAAACCACTAGCCACCATGTACGCATCCCCTATTGTTTCTACCTATATGTAAATACAATTAAATTTTATTTACATATTTTAAAAAATAATAATTTTACTGAATATCGTTTTTCTTTGACCATAAGTATTTTTGAGAACGTTTTTTATATATTGAGTCGTTTAGCGCCTAATTGTACAAAAAGTAAATAAATGAATGCATTTCGGTACCTTATACACATCGTAGTTTGATATGATGGAATCAAAAAGCGTGTAAAGGTCGTTGAGCAAGTTGATAACTTGTAACGGGGTGCTAACTGCCGATAATTCTGTAAAACCGACAATGTCACTAAAGTATATGGTGACGCAGTCGAACATCTCTGCCTCAACTCGGTCCCCTCTTTTGAGAGCTTCGGCAACAGACCTGTGGGGAACGCAAAATGTAAGGTCAAAATCATGCTTTAATGGAATGATTCGTTCCACATAGTGGGTGAGAGTACTATACTATTTCTGTATTTCGTTTCTATTTCGAGATATGCTTTGTGTAATGCCCGCTTGATATCAAGCGTATTTTCTAGTAACCAGCTGGAGCAATACATTTTTGGATTTCGTAATAATGCAGCGACAAATTATAGTACACTTTAGAAATATGAAATATAACTAGATCGTGCTAGCTTGATAAACGTCTGTAGACAAAATTTAATTTCTTTTTTCTAAAGTGCACTATAATTTGTCGCTGCATTGTTACTTAATCCAAAAATTTGTCGCTTCAACCGGTTACTCGACAATGGACAAAATGCTAGTCTGATGTTAAGCTGGTAGAAAATATAGCGTATCTCGAAATAAAAATAGTGCAGAAAAGTACGGCTACAATTTGTCGCTGGAAGATGGTGTTTTTACTCATTTTGTCGCTGTTCAGTGAAAAGAGTCGCCAAACTGGCACTATACATAACGTATGTCAAAATATAACGGCATAGAAAAATATTATTGTAAGGCTTGTAATTTGTCACTGAAGGATGGTACGTTTACCTATTTTGTCGCTGGTCTACCATCCATCTGTCCAGGGAAAAACGACTCGAGAGTCGTCAAACTGCCACTACAAATTGCGCATCTCGAAATAGAATGGCGTAGAAAAATACAGTAAGGGTTAAAATTTGTCACTGAAAGATGGATATATGCCATTTCTATTTTGAGATACGCTGTGTGTAGTACCACCTTGACGGCCCTCCGGTCGTTTTTCACTTAACAATTGAAATATAGAGTAGCGTCAGAATTGATAAAAGTACGATCTAGCGGCGACAAATTATAGCTTTACAGTATTTCTCTACGTCATTTGTATTTCGAGATTGGCTATGTGCAGTATCACCTTAGCAACTCTCTGATTGTTTTTGCTGGACAGCTGGAAGGTGAAACTTGCAACAATGGGTAAAAGTACTAGCTTTCAGCGACAAATAATAGCCTTTAGAGTATTTCTGTATTTCATTTGTATTTCGAGATATGTTTTGTGAAGTGCACTCTTGATATCAAGTGTATTTTCCCGTAACCGGCTGGAGCAATAAATTTTTGGATTTAGTAATAATGCAGCGACAAATTGTAGTGCGCTTTAGAAATATGAAATATAACTAGATCGTGCTAGCTTGATAAACGTCTGTAGACAAAGTTACATTTCTTGTTTCTAAAGTGCACTATAATTTGTCGCTGCAATGTTACTTAACCCAAAAATTTGTCGCTTCAACCGGCTACTGGACAATGGACGAAATGCTAGTCTGATGTTCAGCTAGCACAAAACATGGCAGTGTATCTCGAAATATAAATAGCACAGAAAAATACTTTAACGGCTATAATTTGTCGCTGGAAAATGGTATTTTTACTCATTTTGTCGTTAGTCTATCCTCAAACTGTTCAGTGAAAAACAATCGAGAGTCAAAGAGCCAAACTGACATTATACATAACGTATGTCAAAATATAATGGCGTAGAAAAACATTGTAAGGCCTATAATTTATCATTGAAGGATGTTACGTTTATCTATTTTGTCGCTGGTCTATCATCCATCCGTCCAGGGAAAGACGACTCGAGAGTCGTCAAACTGGCACTACAAATTGCGCATCTCGAAATAGAATGGTGTAGAAAAATACAGTAAGGGTTAAAATTTGTCACTGAAAGATGGATCTATGTCATTTCTATTTTGAGATACGCTATGTGTAGATAAAGTAGCGTCACAATTGATAAAAGTACGCTCTAGCGGCGACAAATTATAGCTTTACAGTATTTCTCTACGTAATTTGTATTTCGAGATTGGCTATGTGCAGTACCACTTTAGCAACTCTCTGATTGTTTTTGCTGGACAGCTGGAGGATGAAACTTGCGAGAAAATGGGCAAAAGTACTACCTTTCAGCGACAAATAATAGCCATTTGTATTTCGAGATATGTTTTGTGAAGTGCACTCTTGATATCAAGTGTATTTTCCAGTAACCGGCTGCAGCAATGAAGTTTTGGATTTAGTAATAATGCAGCGACAAATAGCTGTGCACTTTAGAAATATGAAATAGAACTATGTCGCATTAGCTTGATAGACGTCTGCAGACAAAGTTAAATTTCTTATTTCTAAAGTACACTATAATTTGTCGCTGCATTGTTACTTAACCGAAAAATTTGTCGCTTCAGCCGATTACTGGACAATGGACGAAATGTCAGCCTGATGTCAGGTACTATAACGGCTGTAATTTGTCGCCGAAAGATGGTATTTTTACTCATTTTGTCACTAGTCTATCCTCAAGCTGTCTAGCGAGAAAAAACTCGAGAGCGTCAAACGGGCACAATATATAGCGCACCTCGAAATAGAAAAATACTGTAAGTTCTATAATTTGTCGCTATTTCGAGATACAATATACGTGGTACCACATTGGTGGCTCTCCAGTCGGTTTTCGCTTGACAGCTGGAGGATGAGACTAGCAAAAAAAATGGATAAAAGTATCACCTTTCACCGACAAATTAGTGACAAACCGGTATTTGTCTATACCGTTTCTATTTTGAGGTACGCAATATGTAGTGTCAAATTGATATCAAGCTAGCATTACATCTATTTTTCAGTGTCAGCCTGGAGCGAAAAATGTTTGAATTTAGTAACAATGTAGCGAGAAATATTCACTTTGTCGTGCTAGTGTGATACACGTCTGTAAGTAAATTTTGATTTGGATAAATGCAAAATGCGAAAAACAGTAACAACAGTTATGTTTTCCTTACTTTGGCAACATTCTGTGTAATAATGCTTCAGTTTTCTTTTTTTCTTCCATCAACTGATTTGTCCTTTCTTGGACTAAACCTTCCAAGTTGTAGGCATATTTTTCCATAATTGCAAGCATGTTGTCGAAAATATTTGGCTTCAATCCTGCCTAAACGCAACAACAACAATGAACACAATTAAAATCGCCCCTTTGATCATCAAATTAATAAAAAAAAACTTACTTGCATTTCCTTTAGGCTGATCCGCACAAACCGGATATCAGGTCTTTGTTCCCATTCTTCTAACCAGCACAACTTTATACATCGTATTATATAATTGTCGGCGTTAAGGGTGTCTAATCTTGGCCTAAAAGGGTCTGGCTGATTTTCTTTTTTCACCAATTCGACGATTTCTGAAAATGAAATTGTAATTCTATACAATTAAAAATGTAAAATTAGTTTGTTATTAATAAATTTTTCTATTTATACGTAATATGGATTGAAAACAGCTTCTCTTTCATTATACTTCGTTTACTTTCTGTAGCGATGTGACCTTCAGTTTGACCGGCGCAAAGTAGAAAAGAACAGCNGACCTATAATTTATATTTAAAAATAATTTTATTCTAAATGGGAGGGGTTCATAATTTAAAATTGGACTGACAGGGTCTAGTTTTCAGTGGGGTACAACTTTGTTAAAAATATTTATTCCTTTCTTCAAGTTCAAGGGACTTTGGTTATATGAATCGCATAACGCAAGTGTTCGACTGGTTGCCGCACTTGATCTGAACGAACCATTATAAATATTTAACATTGTAAAATAATTGTGGTATTAAGTTTATTCGTTTTTTGCTTTTATTAAGAATTTTAATTAATAAAATCACACTTTTTCAACATTTGTTAACACTATGTTAGATATGGTAATAATGTCTACGTATGCATACGTCATTTATGTCCGCCATTTTATGTAGCTCAAGAGTCAAGTTCTTCAGTAAATAACGTATTCGCGTGTAATTTATTTTGCAATAAGGTTTGTGTGGTGTTTATTTTGCGGTTTAAAATGGACAATTCGCCGTTCTATCATAATGAACTTTAGAACTTGCAGGGAGTTATCAAGGTAAGCTTATGAGTAATGTCCACTTTGGGCACCGGTGTGTAACTGTTACACAAACCGGATATGTTCTTTATAAATCATACGGAATCAATAATTTGAATATAAAATTGATGTAAAGGTAGTACCTATAATTAATATCTTCTATTGGCGTTTATTTCATATAAATTCTCATATTTTTACAAATGTACCTACCCCCACCACAAAGTTGCTATTATAACAAGCTCATTTTACTTGTTAAACACTGTATTGGAAATGGAAGAATAAGAAACATTATTTGTAATACAAAAAGTATTATTCAGACCAGACAAAATTGAAATAGAGCCATTACAATTAGAAAACTAAATATTAGGTTTATCAAGTTTGGCCTCTAAATGATACATTTGTAATGCAAGTGCGTTCCCAAATATTGGCTTATGGTAAAGTTGTTTAACATCAAACCTGGAATGAAAAGGAGGCAAAAAGTAATATATTTGCTTATGATTTTATTTTAATGTAAATATCACTTACTGGCAATCTGTAAACAATTGACGGGCATATTCTTGACACTCTGAAATAGCCAATTGAATGGAATTGTAATGATTTCTTCTTGACCAATTCTGAACCACTTGAATTAGGCAATGTCCAATGCCCTTTCGTCTGTACCTATGAACGATAAAAGTATAATATACTGTAGGTAATTAAATGGGGCACATTTACAGATAATATTTTTTACCTCGATTCAACTGCTAATTTAAAAAGCCATGCTACATCCTCATCCTGTATATGTCTTGATACTGCTACTGTTCCTATAATCTTTAAATAATTGAAATATTACATTGCACATACCAGATATTACCATCTTACCCTTCTCCTATACTTTTTAACTTCGAAATTTTCATACATTAGTCTATTTTCATCAATAATCTTGTAACTACACTTCTCAGGACTGTTGGCATTAAAATAAGGTTCATACACTTCTGCAACCCAAGACATTACAGGTCTTTTAGAACTCGTCACTTCCATAGCTTTCATTAAAAGAGAACTATATATAGAAAGGTATATTAAAATTAATACAAATGGAACGGACAGAACACAATAGGGTAGTGGAACACCCATGAAAATAAACATCACAGCGGCTGATAGTACAATGAGCTGGAATGTTATCTGCAGAACAAACACAAAACAGACTACGTATTAGTTCAACAGCTTACACAAAAGTACAATTAATTCAAAGCGTTAACGTACTTCTTTAGTGATTGCATTCCACCAAGAGTAGGAAACATTTGACAAATAGGCATTTCGAACAAGCTCGTTGACACTTATATTATCACCAGGATTACATTCTCTAATAATAACGTAGTTGTAATTCATATTTCCTGAATTTTTTTGGTATTTGTTTACATTCGCATGCTTAAAAAGTTAGGTTAGGAGAAATGTCATTGTCATAGATAATAGATACACAAAGGGTAATTGTTGTTATCTTCGTTTTGTTCCATCATTCATTGAACATTGAGAGTGCGGCTTGTTCAGCCACATTTATATATAGGGTGTTTAATTAAGATAATAATTTAATAACTTAAAAAATATTACAAGAATATGTGAAAAACTTTTAGGTTTAATAGTATTTGATACTGACGTGTCAAAAAATGCGCTGTATGGCAAATTCTGCTTTTCATTTTCAGGTTGCAGTGCGAAATTCATAACGTAGAATAAATATGTCGAATCGTGGGTTCGATGAAAATAATGAGAGTGAGGGCCTAAAAATGAAATTTATTACATTATTAGTAATGAGTAAAGGCAACAAATTAAATGATCAGTATATAAATTGATTGATCATTAGATTCATTGCTTAATGGCTAGGTTGAGTTAGGTTAGATTAATTGATTTATAGTCACTTAGATCACTTGCATTTAAATACTGACCTTACATGATATTATTAAGTAAATACAGACCGGAAGTGATTAAAATACTAATGCTGAATTTTTTGAATTCTCTTTTTATAAAAATTCACCTTTGGCATAGATTGTGACGTCGGTTCCAGAATGATGCACTTCGTCGGTCAAGATGAATGCTTGTTGAGAGTAGGTATAGCCATCAGTATCATTATAAAGAGGGTCTTGTCTATATATTTGTTGTTGTGGACAATGAAGGACTTGATATTTCTTACTGTATTGTGCCATTCGGCCATAATACGGAACTATTTTCATTTGGGTACTAAAATTCGAGTTATCCGTGTAGAACTGGAAGTTTTTTCGTCCACCAGTTGTGTACAACAATGTGGTATAAGGTATTCCATCGACTACAGACTTCTCGGCTAATCCTGACAAATAATTTTATGTGAATCCATTTGTAGATCGTCAATCTACATCCTCATACTAAATTTTATCTTATTAGATATTTAAATGAGAAAAAAAGAAGACTGTGACATATAAACAAACAGACAGAAAGAACATTTCTTACCCAGAATTCCAGCTGCTCTATTGGGATAACCAGTAATGACCAACGAATGTGCAAAACTGCCAGTTACAATCAGTAACGTTTTTCTTGCTATTCTCAATTCTTCGGTAATTCGTACAACATCAGCAACAGCTGTGCTGAGAGCCCCGGTTTCATCAAGGGCAATCCTGGCATGTCCTTCATGATGTGCTTTATCTATTAATGCATTCTCCACCTAAGTTTATGACATCAGATATTATTCGTAAGCTAAATCATATTAGCTTGACGAAAAGAATTTTGTTTTTACCACCAACAAGAATCCTTTGTTCTTTTGTAGCACATGTATGGCCTTTTCGGCCATTTTGGACAAAGATGGCATTCCGTAAGAACCCCTCTCTCTGGCATAATTGTATTTTATGTTGCTATTGGCAAAAATACCTAGACAAAATGCCTAGTCATTAAATTATTATGGAGTGAGAATCTTAATA